TCCTTTTTACTCACTTATATAATGAATTGTAACATGAATATTAATTAGGCTTACTAATATCAACACTCTTGTATTCCTAAAATAAACCACATCTGTCCATAGCATATTCTTGTTTTACTGTAGTAAACTCTCTTTTTGCTAGTATTTACTTACAATTTTAGGATCAAAATTTGTAAGATTTGTCTTAGTTTTCTTTTGGGGGGTATTTTGCAGTCCTGCTAAGTTATCGTGGCTTTAAAAGAAATAATTTGAATGTTTTCTCTGCCCTCCCCACCCTGCCATGCTCTGAATAATTAGAAGTGAATTAGAGTAACTGGTTGCTTGTAAATTTGAAAAAAAATTAACAGAACTTTTATTGTGCTTTTATTATAGAGTAATTTTACTAACTTCTTTTTATAATGATGTCCTATTATGTTTTTCTTCCCTCTTCTTGAGCCAATTTTAATTTATATCATCCTTTAAAAAAATTCAAATTTCCAAATATCTAAAACATAGACATAGTCATATTTAAAACTTAGATACTGGGAGTAAAATGATGAGAAAAGACATATCAGAGATATGCAAACAAGAAGAAAACAAAAGTTGCATTTAGGGGCATAAGCAAAACTGAATGCAAAGGGAAAAAGAATACAACTTAGTAAACCTCACAATAAATAAATAAATGAGGCAAAACGTTTTTTGAATCCTTGTATCCTAAAGGATATCCTTCATTTGTTCTTAAATACAAGTTGGTTAGTTAGGAAATTCTTTAGTTACATTTTTTTTTTTGTACATCAAATCTCAATAGCTGTTGAATCATTAACTTTGAAAATCTTATGTGCTTGAAAAGAAATGTCAGCCTCATTATTTTTTCATTATGTATGACCTTTTTTTTCCCTTCCCTTGATGTTTGTAAAATCACTTCTGTAATCCCTAAAAGTTTCGTCAATTCTATCCAGATATTTTCCTAGAATATGAGTTTTTCTTCATCTCCAGATTCTTTTTTTCATTCATTATAAACAAGTTTATTTTCTGTGTGTGAATATTTTGTAATTCCCATTATTCTGCTTTCTTCTCCATGGAAAACCAATAGTTTTTCACTATCTCTTTAACTGCCTTTATTTCTTTGCTCACTATCTCCACATTCTATGCAATTTCCTCAAGGTCAATCTATAGCTTCCTGGTTAAATTTTCTATGTTGTTTACTCTACCCCTTGCTGCTTGTAATAAATTATATTCTGTAAGCAAATGTTTCTGCTCTTCTTTATCCTTAGTTCTACCACCTCCCTTTTTATATATTACTAGAGGCCCGGTGCACAAAAATTTGTGCACTGGGGCGGGGGGGGAATCCCTCAGCCCGGCCTGTGCAGTCTGGGACCCCTCAGGAGATAATGACCTGCTGGCTTAGGCCTGCTCCCGGTAGAAGAGGGCAGGCCCAATCCCTAGGTGCAGCCCCTGGTCGGGCTCAGAGCAGGGCCAATTGGGGAGTT